TTTAATAAGTCCCCACAAATTGTTTGCAACTAATAAGGTATTAAATAATAAGGTATTAAATGTGGACATGTACTCCAAATATGATAAAGGCAAGGTCCAAAGATATGCAGTCACATGCAAGTAAAAGAATATATAATAAAAATAAATGTAAGGATGAATAATAGAAACAATGTTTTCATTTCTACAATTACTACTGTAGCATTTTTTAAAATTAAATATTAGATATAACATTATTTGAAATAACTGTTCTCATGTTTAGTGCTCCTGCATTGCTGGCATTATAAGCAAAAGCTCAGTATGCCTATCGGATAAATTTGTGAAAAAAATAAGGGATATCGGGCACTCAAAATGAATAATACAAGTACTGCCTAAAAACACTCCAAGTGTATTGTCACCAAGTACACTTATATAAAACAGAAACACCAATGAATAAAGTGCCAAAGCGCACACTGTAAAAATGATTTACCTTTAAAATACAATACAATGCGATGGGTCTTTTTCTTGCTAGAACCCTAAATCATATGAAAACAGAACAGAGGAACCATAGTATAACCTGTATACATAAATATAACAGTGATACAATAAAAATGGAACACTCAGACTTTACAGAACCAGGAACCAATTCAACAATATAAAAGTAGTTTATTGCAAATAGTGATTAAAACATAACAAAAAATAAGCACAACGCGTTTCAACCTTAAAAGAGGTCTTCCTCAGGTGCAATCTACCCAACAACTGACATAGCAGGCTTTAATATATACCCTAAAATTACTTAACCATAACGTAAAACAGATGTAGTAATTAAAACACATGTGATAGAACTTCCTTATATGGTCCGGACCAGATGTAGTCCGCCTCCCCCAATATGGCGGCTCATCCAGTTTCGGCCACACAAAGAAGAGAAATTGCCACAACTAAAATGTCCATGCATCGTGTCATGTTGGTATATCGGATAAACTTGCATAGAGGATAACTGTAGTATTAGTTTCTACTTGTGAATGTGTTGAAAGGAAGGCTACCACTAATTCATTAAGATTACTGCGGGTAGGAAAGGGTCAACGCTCTTTACCATACACAACACAGAGAAATGTTCAGTAAATTTTTTTTCTCCAGTAATTTCAAAATATATAATTTAAACCATTAATATTCTAAGCAGGGGCGTGTCTACATTCTGATATGATCAGGTTTTATACAGAATTACACTGGTTTAAGTATGACTTGTCTACTTTGGGATAATTTAATCCAGTGTTCTTCAGATCCATTATAACAGACAATCACAGTAAAGTACTCAAAGACAAAATACATCTATATGTTAAATGCTTTAACTGGCATTTTATGGGGTTTCCTTCCTGTTTGTATTACTTACATATGGACCCAATAAAAGTACATGATAGGATATTAAAAAAAGAAATTCATAGGGGGGCGTGGCCTGGAGGTGAACCGGAGCGGCCGCATGCACTAGAGGCTCCGCTCCGTGACCGGCTTCAAAGGAGCAATTAAGCCCGCAAACGACCACACAGACAGACATGTCGCAACCTAAGGGGAAGAGGAACACGGAGAGAACCGAGAAGGCCAACTTCTTTGTATCCAGAGCTGGGCAAACTAAAAATCAGCCGCCACACGAGCTGTCCCAAGATGGCGCCGAGGATTTGACAGACAGCAGGGAGCACCAGGAGGAGACTGAACCTGCACTAACACACAGCACCATTAAAGCACTGCTGGATGAAATGGCAGCAAAACTACTGCTACAGCTAGAGTCCACAATTAAGGACATCAGAAAAGATGTGCAGGAGCTGGGGACAAGAACCTCAAGAGTAGAGGACAAAATGGCGGATTATGACACCGCTCACAATAACCTAGCGGGTACAGTAGACTCCATATTAGCCAAAATAGAAGCGCAAGACATGAAAATTGCTGACATGGAAGACCGCGCAAGGAGAAATAACCTCCGCATACGAGGCATACCAGAAACAGTGAGTGTTCCTGACCTCATGGCCCATGTGACAGGCCTCCTGAGACACCTACTGCCAGATTGGCCTCAAGAGATGCTGCTGATTGATAGAATCCACCGTACGGCAAAACCAAGTTTCTTGCCCCCAGAGACGCCTCGTGATGTTCTGCTTCGCATGCACTACTTCCACGCCAAAGAAGCAGTCCTGAACGCCAACAGAACGCACAAAGGCCTACCAGACGCATACAAGCATGTCGCACTATACGCTGACATCTCGGCCTTTACCTTGAAACGCCGCAGAGACTTCAGGGACATCACCCGGACCCTACGAGAACATCACCTTCCGTACCGCTGGGGATACCCAACTAAAGTATTGGTCAACAGAAAGGGGAAAATCACGGCCATCCAGACGCCAGAAGACAGACGAAAAATTTTGCAGGCCTGGGACATCGCAATACCAGCTACGACGACCACAGAGACGGGCACGCCACGACTCTCCCCAGACTGGAGAAAACCCAAAAGAAAATGAACTAAGACTTTCCTATACCAGGGGTGAACACCCTCGCAGAGTCGGTCTGAAACCAGGGATGGGTAAAGTACTGTGAATGTAAAGATAGCATATAGGGTGGATACTGAGTGTGCGGCACTGCAGGGCCATTACCCCTATGAGAGAGAGTGGAAGAGAGAGGGAAAAGGGGGGGAGAAGGAGGCCGTAGTTAGACGACTCAGTCCCCCAACAAAGCCTATGACACCACTGGGTAATTCGGGGGAGGACAAGGAAAAGATGCAGCCAGTGTCCAACCCACGTGTAGACTAGAGACCCATACCCTACCGACAAAAAGTCCATCAGAAACACCCCACTGGTACAATACCCACTACCCCACTGACTTCTACAAAAAAAAAAAACACCAAATTTGGGTAGCGACATAAAGCAACAAACCCACACAGGGCGCTACAGTCACAAACCAAGGACAAATGAAGCCACAGGCAGGGAGGTATACCAGACCAAGAAGCTTAGCTTCAACCCCAAGGCACGTAGATGCAGTGCCCGGCCATACCTCAGGCAGAATTGTTATATGTATATACTTTTGTTGTTATGTTACTGTTATGCATTGTATATTTTTGTTCAGTTACTGGTATCCAAATCAAACCCCCAGAGGGGCACCCCACAGGGAACCCTGAGCACATACCTCTCTTGCAGACCACACTATTGGTTCTCAACCTCCCTAGACACAAAACTACTCCACATGACCTACGGGACATCCGCACCCAACCCAAAAACGGGATGTCAGCACTCGGCTTGCTGAAGCTGGGAGGAGTGCTGTCCCCGGACGAAACACATATTACAAAACACTATAGCCCACTACACTATAAGAAACCACCGTGAGGATCTGCACATACAACGTACGGGGATTGAACACCCCCGCCAAAAGACATATGCTACACAGAGAGCTTAAGTCCCTCAATGCGGATATAGTATGTCTCCAGGAGACACATTTTAGACATAAAGATCACCCCACTATTCAAACGATGCAATTTCCACAACAATACCACGCCACGTCACCTACTAAATCTAGAGGCGCCTCTATCCTCTTAAGCAAACACATAAAATTCGAACCACAACACCATGAAACAGACAACAATGGCAGGTATGTCCTCCTACAGGGCAAAATCAACGATATGACCTACACAATAATCAATGTCTACACACCCAACACAAACCAGAGAAATTTCCTACAGAGCATTCTCAAAAAAACGAGCGCTATACAACAGGGAATCACGATAATCTGTGGTGACTTCAACCACGTCATAGATCCCAAAACAGACACCACGCTGTCACGACACAGACGGCGACAACGCCCCCTGAACAGACAATGCAAAGCCCTGCAGAAACTCATACACGAATACCATTTCTATGATGCATGGAGAACCACACATCCAGGGGAAAAAACATTTACCCATTTCTCACACGTCCATAACTCCTACTCTCGGATAGATGGTTTCCTCATCTCAGGGCAACACCTAAACCAAATCCACACCTGCGAAATAAAACAAATCACATGGTCCGACCACGCACCGGTGCTCCTAGACATGAAAAACTTATACGACTTCAAACACCGTAGCCCCTGGAAGCTAAATAACATGCTGCTCCAAAATAACGAATACACGAAAGAACTCGCAGATGACCTCGACTTCTACTTTACACAAAATGACAACGGGGAAGTGTCCCCGACCACTGTCTGGCAGGCACACAAAGCAGTCATACGAGGGCTGCTAATTAAAAAATCAGCACACCTAAAAAAACAGGCGCAGACCACACTAAAATCGTGGCAACAAGAGCTGTGTGACTTAAATAGAAATAACCAAATACAACCAACGGCAGAAAACAAACATCGCATCATGACTATCTCTAGGCTTATACACCAGCAGGCATTAGATCAAACGCAATCCAACATGACAAGACTCAAAATATCACACTACATGCAGGGCAATAAAGCGAGTAAACTACTGGCTAACCAACTGAAGCAAAAACAAGCAAATCAAAAAATAGCCTACATCCTAGACAACAAAGGCCAGAAACGCGCCACACCTAGAGATATCAGTGAAACGTTCGCCAAATACTACCATGACCTATACAACCTGAAAGGGGACCAGAACACGACACAACCCACGGACACCAGCATAAAAGCTTACTTAGACAAACTAACCCTGCCACAACTCACACCACAACAGCAGACAGACCTAACCAAACCCATAGAAATACAAGAGATGCTCAAAATCATCCAAACATTGCCGACGGGCAAATCACCAGGCCCAGATGGCCTGACAAACTTATATTACAAGAAGCTCAGCCACGTATTAGCACCCCACCTAACAAAGACTTTCAACCACGCTATAGCCCAGAAATCCCTTCCAAAAGAGATGCTATTGGCTCACATAATTACGCTGCCAAAGCCCAATAAACCACCCACGACGCCGAAAAATTTTCGGCCTATATCACTCCTAAATACAGACGCGAAGCTCTTTGCCAAACTATACGCCACGAGACTGGGACTAATCATACCACACATCATTCACAACGACCAGGTGGGATTTGTAAAAGGGAGACAGGGGTCAGACAACACAAGGAAGGCCATAAACCTGCTATACAAACTACAAACACAAAAAGAGGGGGGATTGTTCCTCTCTCTAGACGCCGAGAAGGCTTTTGACAGGCTACACTGGGGGTTTCTAAAAGCAGTCTTACGGAAGTTCGGAATACCGGACGAATTTGGAGCAGTGGTAGACGCATTATACAGCTCACCCGAAGCACGAGTGTTAAACTCGGGTTTCCTGTCGGAGCCGTTTCGGCTCACTAACGGAACGAGGCAAGGATGTCCATTATCGCCACTATTGTACATCCTGGCCCTAGAACCACTAGCCACGCAATTCAGGGAAAATAGCAATATACACGGGATACAAGTGGGGAAGAAGGAATACAAAGCAGGACTGTTCGCGGATGACATAATGCTGACAATCACACAACCTCACATCTCACTACCAAACATTCTTACTGAAATAAAGGAGTACGGGGACCAATCTTACTATACATTGAACGTTACCAAAACTCAGGCCATGGGGATAGGGATGACACAAGCATCACTAGACAGGCTAAAAGATAACTTCCAATTCGACTGGAGGGAGGATTACATCACTTTTTTAGGTCTAAAACTGCCAAAACACCCTCACCAACTGATGCAACTAAATTACGGCAAACTCCTGAAGGAAAGCGAAGAAACACTAAAAAGTTGGGAACACAAATTTCTGTCTTGGGTGGGTAGGATGACTGCCCTGAAAATGATCTTACTCCCCAAGTTCCAATACCTTATCAGAACACTGCAGATTTTCCTCCCAAACAAATACCTAACCAAACTGCAACGCATATACACATCATTTGTATGGGCACACAAGAAAATAAGAGTGGCGTCAACAATTCTGAGCAAACCCACCTCCCAAGGAGGCCTAGGCCTGCCAACCGTCCGGCTATATTATGAGGCCGCCCTCCTGTCCACGAGTCTTACTCTACACACAGGGAGCAACAAGCCCCAATGGGCAGAGATGGAGGCTGCAGGGATATACCCGGGGGGCATAAAATACTTATTCTGGGTACCCCACAAATTGAGACCCAAACACAAAGACTTACTACCAACCACCTCTTTACTCCTAGACGTGTGGGACTCGAAGACAAAACTCCTAGGGCAAGTCACAAACTGGGGGATGGCGACCCCGATACGGAGCTTGCACATCGCAAATCCCACTTTAGACCACCGCCCTTGGACACAACGAGGGTGCACACGTATAGAACACCTCTACAAGGAAGGTAAATTAGAGCCTTATCCCACTCTGAAACACAAATACCACTTGCCAAATGCCACTCTGTTCACATACCTCCAAATAAAAGCACTTCTGGAGAATGAGATCACAATAACAACACCCTCACCCTTAAAACAATTGTATCACATATGCACCACGGGCAACATACCAAAAAAGACGCTCTCTCTACTTTACGCTACACTAATCGACAACCCTAAAACACCATCAAAAGACAAATTCAAGGAACACTGGCATGAGGACCTACATAAACATTTCACGGACAGCCAATGGCAAAAAGCTTTTATCGCCCACAAAGGGAGATCTAGATGCGCAGCACACTTAGAGCTCATGAGGAAACTGCAGTACAGGTGGTACATGGTGCCGACAAGACTGGCAAACATGTACCCACATACGTCAAAACTGTGCTGGAGGTGCGGGTTGGAGGAAGGTAGCATGTACCACATATGGTGGACATGTAGCCAAATACAACCATACTGGAGAGAAGTAGGAGACATTATTAGACACACACTCGGCACACAGTCGTCCCTCCAACCAGAATGCGGTCTGTTATTTATGACACTGGAGTCATACAACAGACCTCAAGCGATACTACTCTTCCACATCCTAATAGCTGCAAACACACTGATCGCAAGGGCCTGGAAACAAACCAAGAGACCAGAAAAAGAGGCATTACTGAACCAAATCTCTACTAATTTAATGTATGAAACCAAATTAAACGCCAAATTCGGAGCATCTGCTCAAGCAAAACAAGCCAAAGACAGATGGGAAGAGGTGACGGGAACCACATGAAGTGGTTATAGAACAACCAGGCAAAAGAGGCGAGCGACAGGGTGGGAGGGAGAGGAGTAGCACACGCACAAACCAGGGGCAACAGAGAGAGAGTGAGAAACAAAGTAGACGGATACCAATATGTAAATAGATGTGTAAATAGTTGTATTAGGGAAAGCAAAGGACGAGAGATATACCCAGATTGAGCAAACACACCAACTAGAATGGTATGACAATACTAGCGAAAAGGTGGAAGGTGTAATGTGATTGTTCAATTGAAACGCTGTGCCACAAGGGCCGATGCTTTACCCTGTTATGTTGTTATGTTGTAAATTCCCCCCCCCCCTGCAAGAATATTGGATATAAAGTAACAGATGTAAGAACATGTACACCGTTTCCCCCCCCCTTTTTTTCCTGTCTGTACCCATAACACGAAAATGCCTAATAAAGAATTCAATTGGAAAAGGAGTGCATGGCGGTGGTGTGGGCCCTCAAAAAGCTGCAACCTACTTGTATGGACAACCGTTTACCTTACTCACAGATCACAACAAATTTGGGGCACTGCGCGTGCAATCTAATGTGCCACCAGATAGGAGTGGTGTGTTTAGTACTATTGTTATCAGTTTAATCACTGTTACGTCCCCTATCCGTTGATGTGGAGCAAGACGCAGCAGCAGAAGAGGACTCAGCCGAGGAGGTTATGGAAGAGGATGGAGTAGGAGGAGTAGAGGAGGTGGCAGCATACTGGCAGAGTACACGCTGTAGGGCTGACACACCTGCTTGAAGATAACTAACTGCTATTCAATCTATAACAGTGAAAAAAGTTTTTTGTTTTTAAATCCAAGCTATTGTGACACCAGTGAGTGAGTGGTGGCACTGGGCACAGTATCCACTGTGAGCCTGACACACCCGCTTTGAGACAACTAACTGCTATTCAATCTATAATTGATGTTTGTTTCACAGGCAGAAAGTGCTCTAAAACATGGCGGCTTGAACCCAAGTTGGTGGCGGATCAGTCACGCAAGTCAACAGGCATTCAGAGCTAAAATACAGCAGCGTGTGGACCATTTTTAGCCCAAGGCAGCTCATCTCATCAGGCCTTTTTTAATCTAATGTATCGCCCAGTGTCAGTCCCTTCGGGATCCATCCCTCATTCATCTTAATAAAGGTGAGGTAATCTAGACTTTTTTGACCTAGGCGACTTCTCTTCTCAGTGACAATACCTCCTGCTGCACTGAAGGTCCTTTCTGACAGGACACTTTGAAGCGGGGCAGGCCAGAAGTTCTATCGCAAATTGGGATAGCTCAGGCCACAGGTCAAGCCTGCACACCCAGTAGTCAAGGGGTTCATCGCTCCTCAGAGTGTCGATATCTGCAGTTAAGGCGAGGTAGTCTGCTACCTGTCGGTCGAGTCGCTCTCTGAGGGTGGATCCCGAAGGGCTGTGGCGATGCGTAGGACTTAAAAAGGTCCGCATGTCCTCCATCAACAACACGTCTCTAAAGCGTCCTGTCCTTGCCGGCGTGGTCATGGGAGGAGGAGGATGACTTCCACCTCTCCCCCTGTTAGATTCCCGTTGTGCTGTGACATCACCCTTATACGCTGTGTAAAGCATACTTTTCAATTTATTTTGCAAATGCTGCATCCTTTCATACTTGTTGTAATTCGGTAACATTTCCGCCACTTTCTGCTTATACCGGGGTCTAGTAGCGTGGACACCCAGTACAGGTCGTTCTCCTTCAGCCTTTTTATACGAGGGTCCCTCAACAGGCACGACAGCATCAAAGACCCCATTTGCACAAGGTTGGATGCCGAGCTACTCATTTCCCGTTCCTCCTCCTCACTGATGTCAATGAAGGTATTTTCTTCCCCCCAGCCACGTACAACACCACAGGTACCAGCAGGGCCGGACTGGGGAAAAAATTAGGCCCGGGCATTTTTCAATCAGAGCGGCCCCCTAAGAAGGGGGCGGGGCCAGAGAGGGTGTGTTTTGTCATCACTAATGACAAGCACGCCTCCTCTCAAAGTGAGCATGTTGGTTCAATCTTGGAAACTGCGCTGAAGAGCTCTGGCATTAGAAAAGGCCCTGAATTTGTTCTGCGCAGTGCAAGCAAATTTAATAACATGCTTGCGCTGTGTTTGCTTTTAAATTGTCTCTGGTGTCTCCATAAGTGGGATACCAGAGGACAAAAGAGCCAGGAAAGTGTATGGTGCATGTGTTTGGAGCCTGCTTGTGGGATTGCGTGTGTGTAGAGTGTGGTGTGGTATTGTGTAAATAGGTCAATTTCATATGTGTTTGTGGTGTAATATGTGTGGCTAGGGGCTGCAGAGAGTGTGTGTATAGGTGGCATAGTGTTATAGGGGATGTAGCGAATGTGTGCATACGGGCTGTAGTGTGTGTGTATAGGTGACGTAGTGTGTGTAGGGGTTGTAGAGAGGGTGTGTTTAGAGAATGTTGTATGTGTTTGCTGACAAGGAATGTAGTGTGTGTGTAGGTGGTGCGGTGTGTGTGTAGGAGATCTAGTGTGTAAAGGACCCAGAGTGTGTATAGGAGATTGTGTGTGTGTGTGTGTGTGTGTGTGTGTGTGTGTGTGTATAGAGGATTAAGAGTGCATATAAGGTAAGGGATCTAGCGTGTATCTGGAGCATAATGTATGTAGTGCTGTAGTGTGTGTGTGTGTGTGTGTGTGTGTATATATATATATACATACATATATATATTTGGACGTATTGTATGTGTGAGGGGCGCAGTGTGTGTGTATGTAAGAGGGGTGCTGTGTGTGAGGGTGTTTTTATCTGCCGTCACATTCTAGGTTTCTAGTTTTCTTTGTTAACTCACTGAGGGTTATTTTATATATATATATATATATATATATATATATATGTGTGTGTGTGTGGGAGTGTGCTGTGTGTGTGAGCGAGGGTGCTGTGTGTCTGAGACATCATTAGTGTGTGTGTGTCTGAGGGTGCGCTGTGTGTGTCTGAGGGTACGCTGTGTGTGTCTGAGGGTGCGCTGTGTGTGTCTTAGGGTACGCTGTGTGTGTTTAGGTGCTGTGTGTGTCTGAGGGTGCTGTGTGTGTGTCTGGGGGTGCTGTGTGTGTCTGGGGTGCTGTGTGTGTGTCTGGGGTTGCTGTGTGTGTGTCTGGGGTTGCTGTGTGTGTGTCTGAGGGTGCTGTTTGTGTGTCTGGGATTGCTGTGTGTGTGTCTGGGGTTGCTGTGTGTGTGTCTGGAGGTGCTGTGTGTGTGTCTGGGGTTGCTGTGTGTGTGTCTGAGGGTGCTGTGTGTGTGTCTGGGGTTGCTGTGTGTGTGTCTGGGGGTGCTGTGTGTGTGTCTGGGGGTGCTGTGTGTGTGTCTGGGGGTGCTGTGTGTGTGTCTGGGGGTGCTGTGTGTGTGTCTGGGTGCTGTGTGTGTGTGTGAGTGTGAATTTATTTTTTATTTAAATTAAAATATATTTTTTAATAATTAAAAAAAAAAAAGTTATATCCCCCCGTTCTGCCATGAAGGGGGACCATGCTGCCATCTCCCCTGCAGGGCCAGCGCTACCCGAGCGCCAGCCGCGGCAACGCTCAGAATCCCGCGAGAGGACCCGGCGGAGCTGCTGGTTAGAGCTCCGCAGGTCCTCTCTCCTCCCTCCCTCACTCCTTAGCCTGTGGCCGCCTGTAACACTGCCTCTGGGCCGGTGAGGGAGATCTTAGATCTCCCCACCGGCCCATGAAGGCATACAGCAGGGCTGGCGCTCGGGTAGCGCTGGCCCTGCAGGGGAGATTCTGTGATCTCCCCTGCCGGCCTCGGCCCCACGGCCATCGAGGCCCACCGGGCATTTGCCCAGTATGCCCGATGGCCAGTCCGGGCCTGAAGAGGGCTCACAGCAAGGCTGGCTCTGCAAGGGCCAGCAGGGGAGATGAAATTATTTCCCCTACCAACCTTGGTCCATGGCCATCAAGGCACACCGGGCGTTTTCTGCAAAACCCACAACTGCCCACCTGAAATCCCAACTGATTTAAAGGGATACTATAAGTGCCAGGAATAACTATAATAACTATGGCACTATAGCGCCCTCTGCCTCACCCCTCCCTTGCGCCCCTTCACCCAGGTAAATAAAGGGTAAAAAACCCTTTATTTACTTACCTTTTCCCAGCGCTGATGTCCCTGCGCTGGGTTGTCGCTCTGCCCCTCCCTCGCATTAGACTTAGAGCTGCAATGTAAACACGAAGTGCACAAGGGACAGTGCACCCAGACCACTTCAATGAGCTGAAGTGGTCTTGGTGCATACAGTGTCGCTTTAAAGCAATTACCTTCAACCTGAGCTCCAGTCCATATCTTACGGAGGTTTATCATGCCAGTTACCTTAAAGGACCACCATAGGCACCCAGACCACTTCAGCTCAATGAAGTGGTCTGAGTGCCAGGTCCCTCTAGTTTTAACCCTGCAGCTAAAAAATGAAATTGTTCTCTGAAACTGCTATGTATACATTGCAGGGTTAATCCAGCCTCTAGTGGCTGTCTCCCTGATAGCCACTAGAGGCGCTTCCACAATTTTCAGTGAGAAAATCAGACTGAAAGGACGCTGGACGTCCTCATAGAGTCCAGCGTCAAATGAAATCCCCAAGAGGAAAGCATTGAGTAATGCTTTCCTACGGGCGGGTTTGAATGCGCACGCGGCTCCACTCGGGAGCTGATGTCGGCAGGGAAGGAGAGGTCACGCCCGGCGCTGGATTAAGGTAAGTGGCTGAATGAGTTTTAACCCCTTCAGCCAAGCGGGAGGGGGGGGGCAACCTATTAACCCTATAGTGCCAGGAAAACAGGTTTGTTTTTCTGGCACTATAGTGTTCCTTTAATATCATGTCTCAGGCTTTAGATTTATGTCACTTTTCTTGTAAGGCCAAAGTAGTCAAACTGTAAACATTCTCTAAGTCAGCAATGCTTTCAGTTCGGTTACTCTTACCTGAAATTTGAAAGTCACTTTGAATTCTAACTTTAGTAAATAATCCTGCTAGTGTGTCAGTAAATGACAAAAACAATGCAAAATTAGAATATTGATTACTACTCCACAGAAACAAAAAGATTAAAAAAATGCTGACACCCAACAGTTGACATTTCTAAATGAATTAACACATGTTGCTATGTTATCGTTTGTGAAATCTCTCCTGATTCTTAATTTCTTTTATTTGAATGTATATATAACTTCTATACTGTAAACTACATCACTGTACCTTCAACATGTATTCTCTCTACCTTGAGTAAGCGAATATCAAAGTACACAATTGTATCATATGTCATTATATGGAGTTTAAAAAAAATAAAAAAATAAATGTATACGTTCAGAATTATTACAATAGAATTTCAAATGTAAGGCCAGCGCAGCCAAATTGAAAGCTGAGGTGGCTCAGAGCATTTTTCCAGCTCGGCTACTTTGACCTTAAATCTCAAATAAATCTCACTTTTACTTGACCTTTTAATCTTAATTTAGTGATTAATTCTATAAGTGTATAAACGAATTTCCCCTTTAACAAACATGCACACGCCCCTTAGTAGGTTTCAGGTTACTTACTAAATTAATGTAATATTAGCCGATTTCCTGCTTTCATTCAAATTCTGCGCTTGCCCACAATGAATGTCTGTAGCACTTATTCAGTATTCAGTACTAGTTTAGAGCACGTGCTCTCAAAGATAACGTCTGCCTATAAGTAAATGTGTTTGACAAGGGGATTTCCTGAATCAAGGCCACAAATCATAACGCTATATAAACATAAAAGCTTACTTAATAAAATACTATCTGCTTTTTTGCTTTTTTTTTCTTGTCAAAATTATAATTTTAAAACATTTTTAAATATAACTTCTGTTAATCTAACGCGACAGGGACTTAACATATTCTCAAACACAACAGCTGCTCGTTTGTTAGTTCATGTCTTACAACAATTGTATACAGAAATACGGTAAAATTATAATATCATGATTATAAATTAATGGCAATGGGTAGGTTTTTATTTAGATATTTTATAACACTCATTCACTGAACAGAGACTCAGAAGCTGAATTGTAAAACATGTAGTTATTCACTGCAATGAGAATTCAAAGAGAATTCAAAGTAAATTTTATTTTTAAGGCCAAAGTAGCAGCTGACAGCATAGCGGACTTAAAGATTGATTGCGATTTGGCTATGTTGACCTTAAATTTGAAATTCACTTGGAATTTTCATTTTAGTAATTACATTGTTAGGCTAAAAAACTATTTGATAAAAAAATCTCCTATTGAGAATTTTATGTCATGACTAATCTGGAATAAATTGATGGTTTGCAATTCATTGTTTACTAGTAATTAAAGAGAAAAAGAAAATGGGTTTTGTTCACTAAAACACAGATTTGCAGTAAATTAAAAACCATATTGCAAAACTTCAGGGAAAAATAACTGGTTTGAAAAAATTATTTTGTCATCCGAGTTATAATCACAGCTTCTTTGGTTTAGCCTGAATTTTGTATATCCATTGAGCATAATTCACTGTGTAGTAACTAAACCGCAGCACAGTAAAAGGCCTCAGCATGGTGAAACTCATGAGAATAACTGACAGGTTTCTTCAATAAAGTGAGAATTGCTCGGATGAACTTGACATTTAAAGGGTTACTCCAACCACCATGACCACGTCAGTGATTTAAAGTGGTTATGGTGGTATGAGTAAGTATGTGCAAATTCTGCTTAACCCCTTAAGGACACATGACGGAAATATTCCATCATGATTCCCTTTTATTCCAGAGGTTGTCCTTGAGGGGTTAAAACACCGCACATAGAGAGATATTCTTAATTGTGAGACGGGGGCTGGTTCCCCCCCCCAGCACACGTGACACCGGCAGCCCAGAACTCTGTATTCAAGATAAATAAAACCATTTTATTTCAGGTAATTGAGAGCAGGGACCTTTCCCACAGTGCCCAGTACGGCATATTACGCTGAAAATGTCCCCCCTCTCGGTAAGATTATAGTAACCCTTTAAGGCTACAATAGCGGAACTGGAAATATGAGTTTCTTCCAATTCGACTAATGTGCCCTTACTTTTTAAAATTAACTTTACATTTCTGACAATTCTCACTTCAGTGAAAAAACCTGCACGTTTCACTGGGAATGTATTCTGGCTCGGTTATTCGATTACACACATTTTGATTATGTAGATCAGGTCCAATTAAGGCATTTAATTTACATGCAGGAAAATAACTTACGTGCACCAAGAACCGAGATGTCTTGCTATGTATCAGTCCTCGGTAGCCGTGTGGCTAGAGAGGGGTTAACACCGTACGACCCCAGACTTTAAAGCGTTTCCATAAGGCTGACAAATCCACACAAAGCTTTCTCTCCCCTGCATTAACACGGCCTCGGCAGGCTTCAAACTTTCACTTTCACTTCTGTATATAGTAGGAAGCAAAGAGAAAGAAAAACAGAAAACTTTATTAAGACAATGTGTATCAATCAAAAGCAGCGTGCCACACCTCCCATCTGTCCCTGGCTAAGAGTGGGAGTCTTTATTTTGGGTCCAAATCTTTGTCCTTCTTTTCTATCCTAATGTCCCTCTTTTCTAGGAGCTTCCATATTGTGTCTGTGTCTGAGTGTATAACAGAGCTTCATAGCATGAATACTCACAGTATTATTATTATTTATATAGCGCCAACAAATTCTGTAGCGCTGCATGTCTTTAAACCACAATAAATGTGTTTAGAAAACAGTCTATGTAAATAAGATACATTGTTCTAAATTACATTTTATTTGGAAAAGTTTTATTAGTAAGTCACCTATTAACAGTGAGAGCACGCAAGCGTCCATAGGAAAGCATTTTAAATGCTTTCCTATGCGACCGGCTGAATGCGCGCGCAGCTCTTGCCACGCGTGCGCATTCAACCGACGGGGATGAACGGAGGAGGATCGGAGGCAGAGAGCTCTCCGCCCAGCGCTGGAAAAAGGTAAGTTTTACCCCTTTTCCCCTTTCCAGAGCCGGGCGGGAGGGGGACCCTGAGGATGGGGGCACCCTCAGGGCACTATAGTGCCAGGAAAATTAGTAGGGAGGGGGCGGGGACAAACGCCGGCTTGGCCTATCAGCACTTCCTCATAGAAATGCATTGAATCAATGCATCTCTATGAGAAAAATTCAGTGTCTCCATGCAGAGTGTGGGGATGCTGAACAGCAGTGCTCCAGTAACAGGAAGCACCTCTAGCAGCCATCTGAGGAGTGGCCACTGGAGGTGTCCCTAGGCTGTAATGTAAACACTGCCTTTTATCTGAAAAGGCAATGTTTGCATGAAAATGCCTACAGGGAATAATTATACCCACCAGAACAACTAAATTAATTAGTGTCCCTTTAAATTAATTCACACTGGCAGAGAAATAGCAAATTTTAGGGGTTCAGCATTGGTGGGTCTGCAGGGAGACTGTGAGGGGCTTTGCAACCTCAATCTACAAATACAGAACCCCACTGTATAGACCCCAGACAATTGGACAACATATATAGTTCCAAACCTGAAGGTCACAGCTTGCTTATTATAATGCTACATGGCCTGTCATTGAAATAGGACCCACACTGAATCTGGGGGGAGAGGGGATTGGCCTATAGTACTCCTAGCCCAATTTAGGGAGCTTTCAGTTTTCTCCAGTGAAATTATATATTATCACTAGGGAGTCTACTAAACAAGTAGCAAACAAGTAAACAACTCTATTTTAACAAATCGTTTGTTTTTCTTATCATATGATCTTAAAAGCCACACCAGATTTTTTGTGGGGGATTCGTCCCCCGCATACTCTCGTTTCCTACACTCAAGTGACCTTGTTGGAAATATAAATATATATCTCTCGGAGCCTTGATGGTTGTTAGTTCATCACAATTCACTGTTCAGAGAATAAAGTGTGTGTTACTTGTTGATTACGAAGAGGGGGAGAGTGGGCAGTCTGCACTGGGTGAAAGGTGATAGGGAACTGGGTAATTAGTAGAGACTGATCTCTGCAGCTCCCCACTGGACACTAGGGATGAGGTTCCACTCCTGTTTTTCATTTAACCCCTTAAGGACACATGACATGTGTGACATGTCATGAGTCCCTTTTATTCCAGAAGTTTGGTCCTTAAGGGGTTAAAAGCACTTAAGGGAGGCTGGGTGAATATTATGGTCACCCAGACCAATGTATCTGATTGAAGTGATCTGGGTGCAGTGTGCCTGTCCTCTTAATCCTGCAATGTAAAACAATTAAGTTTTTGAGAAACCCCAATATTTACATTGCAGGTTTAAGTTCACCTCTAGTGGTTGACTGTCGGTATGAGAGTTAAAAATCAGACTTGTGACGAGGAAGCCGCGTAAGAGAGTATTGAGTCAACTTTGAATTCTATGTGTTGCTTAGCTCAGAAATACTTAGACTTGAGGAATGGAGGATCTCCTCTAAGCTTGTCGTTCCAAAATTATGTTAATCGAATAAAAATTGATATTACAAGATACTATGTTCATCTGTTATTTTACACCTACATCACTGAACAAGAATAGCTACAGTATCTGATCTAATATATATTTCCTTACCTAGCTATATTGTCAGAGAGACTTTAACTTCCAGACCAAAATCAGTGCCATGCTGATGAAACCCACAAGGTTGAAACTGCAGTCCATGGCTGGTTTCTGGTCACTGGTCCTTTTGGATCAGTTAAAAAAAAAAGCTGTGTTTGAAACAGTGTCCATTGCTAAGGGTTTGTGCAGAAATGCAATATGAATTTTGAACCACAATGCGTGTCTGTGCTTAATTGCACGTCAAGCCGGGCCCAGCTTGCTGTCAGTTTGCCCCTGCACCAAAAAGTAGGTAAAAGCGGGTGCAAGATATACAATATGGGTAAAATCACTGAAGTGACTATGGTGCTTGGAGTAACCCTTTAAGTCTGATTTAGTGTTTTTTTGTTTGGTTTGTTTTTTAATAAAAACAAACAAAAAAAAAGAATGTTCTGTAATAAAAAAAAAGTTCATGGGGTACATCCTAATTAAATTTGCCGCCTAGACTAATGCTAATATTATATTAATAATTTGAAGTATAAAATGTCCATATTGTGACAACGTCAACTACAAGACGTCTAGCTGAGGTAGGGAACTAATAATGTAATGAAGAAAAATTGCCTTACGAACTATCTAAAACACATGGATTTCAAGATCAGAGACAACATGGGTTTACTTCAGGGAGATCATGCCAAACTAATCTTATTGATTTTTTTGATTGGGTAACTAAAATTATAGATCGGGTGGTGCAGTAGACATTGCTTACCTAGATTTCAGTAAGGCTTTTGACACTGTTGCACATAGAAGGCTTATCAATAAACTGCAATCTTTAAGTTTGGATTCCAATATTGTTGAATGGGTAAGGCAGTGGCTGAGTGACAGGCAACAGAGGGTTGTAGTTAATGGAGTATATTCGAAGCTTGCTTGTCACCAGTGGGGTACCTCAGGGATCTGTACTTGGACCCATTCTCTTTATTATTTTTATTAGTGATATTGCAGAAGGTCTTGATGGTAAGGTATGTCTTTTTGCTGATGATACTAAGATATGTAACAGGGTTGATGTTCCAGGAGGGATAAGCCAAATGGCAAATGATTTAGGTAAACTAGAAAAATGGTCAGAATTGTGGCAACTGACATTTAATGTGGATAAGTGCAAGATAATGCATCTTGGACGTAAAAACACAAGGGCAGAGTACAGAATATTTGATAGAGTCCTAACCTCAACATATGAGGAAAGGGATTTAGGGGTGATTATTTCCGATGACTTAAAGGTAGGCAGACAATGTAATAGAGCAGCAGGAAATGCTAGCAGAATGCTTGGTTGTATAGGGAGAGGTATTAGCAGTAGAAAGAGGGAAGTGCTCATGCCATTGTACAGAACACTGGTGAGACCTCACTTGGAGTATTGTACACAGTACTGGGGACCGTATCTTCAGAAGGATATTGATACCTTAGAGAGGGTTCAGAGAAGGGCTACTAAACTGGTTCATGGATTGCGGGATAAAACTTACCAGGAAAGGTTAAAGATCTTAACATGTATAGCTTGGAGGAAAGACGAGACAGGGGGGATATGATAGAAACATTTAAATATATAAAGGGAATCAACACAGTAAGGAGGAGACTATATTTAAAAGAAGAAAAACTACCACAACAAGAGGACATAGTCTTAAATTAGAGGGACAAAGGTTTAAAAATAATATCAGGAAGTATTACTTTACTGAGAGGGTAGTGGATGCATCGAATAGCCTTCCAGCTGAAGTGGTAGAGGTTAACACAGTAAAGGAGTTTAAGCATGCGTGGGATAGGCATAAGGATATCCTAACTATAAGATAAGACTAGGGACTAATGAAAGTATTTAGAAAATTGGGCAGACTAGATGGGCCGAATGGTTCTTATCTGCCGTCACATTCTATGTTTCTATGTTTCTATATTTACATAGTGAAAAACAAACCTTGCAGTGTCAATTATTAATTGTATTTAATACCTTTCTGTGCTAAAGTGTAGTTGCTGAACTAGCAATATTATATTTTTTTAATGACATCGGTTGCTGATCCACCTATTCAAAGATATTATTTTCACATTTAAGATTGATGTATAAATTTACTTTTAGAAACTGTTACACCGGCAATGGTCTGGACATATTTGCCAAACTGTCAGAAATGTTATCAGGACATGTCTGCATTTTGAATGCCTGTCCCTGAACAAATTGTGTCTTAAAGGAATACTCTAAGCACCATAACCACTACAGCCTCGAGTGTTATCTCAGTTTGTCACAGGGCCCAGTGCCGTATTCTGAAATCCTTCTTATTTTACTCCCCTGATGAGATTGTCTGTGATATTATTAAAGTAATAAACGTGTCATATTTATTTTGCTGGTAGCTACTAGTTAATTGGTAGGAGATGGGATTTGAGTCACTCATCTCGGATTCTTTCATGATTGTTGCTGGAAGGATCAGGGATAAAGATGGTGGACACAGATCTGCCAATCAGAACAGGTATAAGAGTACCTAACATCATGTGATCACCCTGATCTTGCTACCCTACATTAGTTTCTGCTATCTGACTAACGTTGCAACCAATGAGAGCCAAGCAGGTTTCTTAAAAAGATTAGGTAAGAAACAGGTTTTATCCTGACCTCGGTCATGTTAAAAATGTTCTGGACATATGAAGTTAGTTTGTTGAATTTAATTGATTAAATATTTGTTATGGAACAAGGAGGGCCCCTTTTATTAGTTTTTTTTTTAAAATCCCACCATGTTTTTCTGAACACACATATTTTCCTTATGTTAATGGGCAGAGCAGGAATAGTGCTGCCCTGCAGCATGTAGAATTTGTATACATAAAGATTTCACAGTGATTAATGGGATATGGATTAAAACTGATCCCTATGTTTTTAATGCATTATATAAGTAATTTATGCCTACGGAGCTGTTCCAATCATCACTTAGGATGATTGCAACTGCTTTATAAACAGATAGAAACATTACTGCAGCTGTTAAACATAATAGTTCACTGTTCAGTCAACTGGTCTATCTGACTGGCAGACACATACATCTGCAGCTCAACCTGTTTTACAGGGAGGAGAGAGAGAGCTTAATACAATTAGGTCAAAATTCATGTTAAACATTCTGACAGCCTTGATTGACAGCATTGAGAGGTTGGCTTACAGCTGCAGTGATTATAACAAATTGCTACAGTTCTACAGTTCAAAAACCACAAAACAGGCCAAGGGGATATAGAGCATCACAAAACAGGCCAAGGTCAAGGGGATATAGAGCATCACAAAACAGCCCAAGGTCAAGGGGATATAGAGCATTACAAAACAGGCCAAGGTCAAGGGGATATAGAACATCACAAAAACCACAAAACAAGCCAAGGTCCAGGGATAGAGAGGATAGAATACTCAAGGATTAGTCAGAGCAGATACCAAGCAGGCAATTAAAAGGAAAACACACTCTCGGTTACTAAAACAGAAACGAGGACGAAGCAATGACCTGTCCGTAACGAGGTTTAAACAGGACATGCATCACCATATTAGTGAGCGTCACAAGGTATAGTCCAGGTACGACGTTGAACCTTCGTCTGAAAGGTGACATTGGCATGGAGCGGTATAAAAGGACACATGGCTTCCTGCACCAAACATTACGCCAGCATAATGCGCAGTGCAACACTGCCCAGCAAGGTGATGAGGCATAGGAGGAAGTACTGGAGGTATCATGAAACTGGTATCTTTAAAGGACCACTCTGGGTACCATAGCAGCTTCATCACCTGATTGTTATGCCCATGTACTTTCTTTGTGTTGAAGTTGTTATGGTGCCTAGAATGTCTCTTTAATAACTTAATTTCTCCTAATGTCGTACAGAACATATATGCCAACAATCAACATATATAATATATCTCCCAGAAAATGTGGTGGAACTGGCAATGCTACAATAATCTATTGTCAACTACTCAGCATCTGCGATCAAAGTCATGTGGTAACGCAACAAAAAGTCACCTCCCTTTCATTACCAATAAGCCATGACCACAGTTATTTAGAATGGATTAAAGGTTGGTTGTTTTTTTTTAATCTTTTTGCAAAATGTCCACATGAATGACTTCTCTGCTTATCTCCCTAAACATTCACAGCAAGCCACACACGGCAGAAGTGTTAACTACGAGTGAACACGTATATGTTTCATGTGACATATCTGTATAGTTGCAATCTGATAATACAGCAACACTCTAAGAAAACACAAACATTTCATAACCCACACCCCAAAATATCTTTAAAAAGATTAAAGGAACCTTTTATAATAAAACTTGCATGTGCCATTGATCTATTATTAATAATGTTTTATTGATAAGGATCAAACATTATATTATTCAAAGACAAACACACAAATACTCGTACACCACCACTCATAAGGCACGAACCCAACTGACACATGCACAGAGAAAAAAAAAGTAAAAGAGGCCTGCTAATGTTTTATGTTTATAACTGTTGATTAGTGATGTCCCGAACGGTTCGCCGAACGGTTCGCCACGGACGGCGAACATATGCGCTGTTCGGTCCGCCCCCTATGTCATTATTGAGTAAACTTTGACTCTGTACCTCACAGTCAGCAGACACATTCCAGCCAATCAGCAGCAGACCCTCCCTCCCTCCCAGGCCCTCCCACCTACTGGACAGCATTCATTTTACATTCATTGTGAAGCTGCATTCTTAGTGAGCTGTCCAGGAGGTGGGAGGGTCTGCTGCTGATAGGCTGGAATGTGTCTGCTGACTGTGAGGTACAGGGTCAAAGTTTACTCAATGATGACGAATAGGGGGCGGACTGAACAGCGCATATGTTCGCCATCCGCGGCGAACCGTTCGGGACATCACTACTGTTGATATTATACAGATATGCTTTATCTCAACGCACTATATGAAACCAAAAAACTTGTAAACTTTCCTCAATAAAACAATGACTGACAAAAAAACAAATACTCGTACACATTGTGACAAAATACAAAGCAGCATTGAAGCTGACCTGTCTTACTCGACTTATAAAGGTTAATTTATTCTGAAATACTGAATATTTATTCAATCTAATGCCAAAACATTCCATGGTGTCTTATGTATGACTACTGGGCAAGGCTAAACCTCTCCTAGTAAACAATCAAATACAGGAAGGTGTACAATGCACCAACCAGAGAAGTGGAGAGTGTAAGGTGTACTATAGGATACGCATACCCTTTGTTGGGACGTAGGGATTAAGCTGTAAAAAAAAAAAAAAGGGACTAATAGTGTAATAATTTCAGGGGTATAAGTGGACTGTAGGTGTCCAATTGTCCAACTCACATTGGCTGGCTCAGATCGTATAGGCAGAAGTGTACTAGGTGACAATCCCCTCTTCTGTCCGCTCAAATATGGTATATGAAACAAAAAAGAAGTGGGGAAACCAGTAGACTTCTGGTGTAGTATGTAAGGTATGATAAAACAGATATACAATTAAAAGATCTTGCTAACCTATTCCAGAGCCCTTAATGCCTGGCTCAAGGTGATAGCGCTCTGTGCCTTTGAGGGGGCACACCATTCTTTTTAAGCAAGCAGACAGGAGTAATTTATAGGACTATATTATTTAATAAATATAACAATTAAAAACAAAGTGTACACCGATTGAGAAAGCCCTGTTAGAGGGTGAAACGCGTATCGGAGGAGGAACAAGGACAACTTGTTTGTATTCTTGGCAGCTAGCTTTTTATTTTTGTTACTTTGTTTTTAATTGGTATGTGTATTAAATAATAAAGCCCTATAAATCACCCATGTCTGCTTGCTTAAAAAGAAGGGTGTGCCCCCTCAAAGGCACAGAGCGCTATCACCTTGAGCCAGGCATTAAGGGCTCTGGAATAGCAATATCTTTTAATTGTATATCTGGTTTATCATACCTTACATACTACACCAGAATTCTACTGGTTTCCCCACTTCTTTTTCGTTTCATATACCATATTTGAGCAGACAGAAGAGGGGACTGTGTCACCTAGTACACTTCTGCCTATCCGATCTGAGCCGGTCCTGGAAGGCTCATTCCCATGTGAGTTGGACCATTGGACACCTACAGTCCACTCATACCCCTGAGATTATTACACTATTATTACCCTTTGTTTCCTTTATTTTACAGCTTAATCCCTACGTCCCAACAAAGGGTAGGCATATCCTATAGAACACCTTACACGCTCCACTTCTCTAGTTGGTGTATTGTACACCTGCCTGTTTTTGATTGTTTGCTCTCAGGTGTGGGGCGGAATAGGGGGGACATCCACCTGAGTGTAGTAGCGTGTGAACTTGTTATATTTTTATAACTATACCTAAGCACCTATTTATTCACAGAGCACTTTGTGTTTAAACCTCTCCTAGTGCACAATGTAAATGGATGTCATGCCAATTGTATTTCTCTCTCTTTCCTGGGTCTGGCATTACAGTCCAATTTTGGTGCCAGACCAGAGCTCCTAACGCGTTTCGCGCATTATCCCACAACTCTGGGTTTGTTCTCTGGTGTCACCAGAGAAATCTCTCTAATAAAATCATTATACATGCTGATCGAAACAAAAATTTCTGCTTATACTGAGCACGTCAACGGATGCAAGGGCACATTTCTGAGGGGGGGAGAGGGAGCTAACATTTGATCAATTCTTACATAAAAAATGTACACACTGACACACACGTAATGAAAAAAGATGTTTACATTTGAAGTTCCTGAATTTGCAACAAATTCACAGGTTTTGCAGCTTTAACAGTGAGGTCAGCCCAGTCCAGGGGGTGTTTTTTCTTATTTTTTTTAAAAGAACACTATAACCTTAAGAATACAAACATGTATTCCTAACACTATAATTTAGGTGTCTGTCCCCTCTCCCCACCCTATCAGGGTTTAAAAAAATGTAAAAGGTAAGATTTACTTACTTTACACCTTGCAGAGCGCTGATCTTGCTGCCTTCTTCCCATAGGTAAGAATTGGGAGGTTAGTGCTCATGCACAACAAATCCCCTTGCTCCATCAATCAAATGCTCTATACGAGAAGCATTGATTAAATAACTATGAGTTTCGGTGTCACGTGACCGAGCTTTATTCAGTGAGTGCAGAAGAAGCGCCTCTAGTGGCTGTCAGGAAGATAGCCACTAGAGGCGTGTTTAATCCTGCAACGAAAACAATGTTGTTTCTACAAAATGGTAATATTTTACGTTGCAGGGTTAAAGCTGAGATGAAGTGGTCTGGATGCCTTTAATGTCCCTTTAAAAATGATGATGGATTTTCCACAGCAGTTCTGCACAATGCAATGCTTTATGTGCACAGCAATACTTTCTGGGAGTTGCAGTTCAATTGTCAGCTTTCTTCTGTAGAACTACTGACGTACAACTGCTCACAATCCTCAGACTTAGCCGTCAATGCTTTAGCCTATGAGGGTAGGCAGAAATTGTTGACTTACGAAGCACAATAAATTAAAAAAAAACTTTACAAAAAATAAAAAAATGACACCCACCCAGCATAACTATCTGTAATTCAACCAACACACTGCATCTAATATATATGGCTGTATGAGCCATTTAAATCGATTTGTTGTTGTTTTTTTTTCTCTGTGCTGTGTAATAAAAAATTGCTTTAACAATTAATTAAATCACTTTTTGCACTTTGCATTACTGGCATTTTTTGAATCATAGAAACAATTTGGTTTTCTTCGGTTCATTAATGTGGCTGGTAATTATGTCATATAGCCAATAAATATAATAAGAATTAAATATAGTTACTGATTATTCCAGGAGAAAAAATAAGAAAAAGAAACATGTGCTTTAGTTCCCCATTATATTTCTATTATTTTTCTGGTGATATAAACTGCCCCTCAATCTACAAGGTAGAGAGAGAGATAAGCTATGCTAATTGTGGTGGAAAAGATCTGTATGCATAGCTAGAACTCCATTCGCTGAAAGTCTCATACAATATGAATTATTGATATAAATTGATTGATACTTAAATAACAACAATGACTATGCTTATAAGTGCAACTGTGCTCTGACTGAACACGCTTGCAGGTAAAATAGTGGATTTAGAAAGTAAATCTCCAACTCAGCTAGGGTGAAGATTGGCTATATTAGCCTCAACTTTGCAATATCGGATTTCAACACCCAACAATAACATAACAGTTATTTGCTAAACTATACATTTTCAGGAATTCACTGAGAAATGGCAAATTTAAAGGAACACTTCACTGGAGATTATTTTATATTTTAGCAATTTTTAACCCCTAAGAAAATATACATGCGGCCTTTGCCAGCCCTCGCTTTTTTCCCCAGCAGAGACTTTCAGTCTGTGTCAGGAATAGCACACGCAATCGCAGCCTTTGTACTCTTCTAAATAATACAATAATTCTTCTGTGATACAGCTCACTGAAAAGGAGGGAGAGGCAGAGGCGATCATGCAGCTTCCATTAGCTCGAGAGAACGAAGGTGGTTCTGCCCCAATTCTAAAAGTGCATATTTCTAACGATTTGTGAAATTATGACAGGCTCCAGGCACGTAAAGCACTTCAGTAATCTGGTACTTTATGGGTGTAGTGTTCCTTTAAGACTAAAATAACTGAGTTGGAAACACAGTAAACTTGGATACATTTCCAATTTGGCCAATTTTGGCCTAAACTTTACAATACCTTGCCCAACCGCGCAAGTCATAACAATGACTACTGGCAGTTTATTTATCACATTATTAATTGCAAGAAGCAGACAAGGAAATTATACATTGTAGGCCAAAATAACCTGTCTGGTATAAAAATTCTAAATTCAACAATCTTCCCATTTGGCTATGTATATGTAAATTGTGTGGCTCCCTTCTCAATTCTCTGCTGTAATCATTCAATGAATACGCTCACAATTGTATTACTAATAGAATCTTAATTTACTATTTGTTTGTTCGTGACTGTGTTATTATATCCCCCCATTGTTATAGTTTGCAGTTATTGAAGAAATAAGAAAACAGTATTTATATTTTTTTCCCCTCTCAGTTAATTTAATGATTATTTTTTTACATTTAGCAATTTTTTCTTTTTTTTACATTCCCTCCCCCATGTTTAATTCTAAAGCCCAATAAGACATGATTCTGTGTGTTCCCTGCTAAGCAGTGAGTGTAGTGTAAACTCTCCCCCAGTGACACAGATCTCACTAATACATGACAGGATCAAAGCACACAGCAGCCATTACCATTCCTGTGCTCAGCAGGAGGTAGTACTCAGTCAGAGGCTGGCTGGCTGGCTGGC